TGTCCAGGCCATTTCTCCTAAAGTATAAAAGCTATGGACTTGAAACTTCATAGGATGAAAGATCTCATTAAGAAGAAGTGCAGTGCCCAAGAACTGGTACTCTGCATTTCTTATTTTTTGAGTTATTGCCCTTTGTTAATTTTCATACTTTATTTTTGTCCAGGCCATTTTTCATAGATTATAAAAGCTTTAGACTTGAAACTTATTAGGATGATAGATCTTTTGATAAGAAGTGCAGTGCACAGAAACTGCTGATCTGCATTTCTTATTTTTTGAGTTATTGCCCTTTGTTAATTTTCTACTTTATTTTTGTCCAGGCCATTTCTCATAAATTATAAAAGCTTTAGACTTGAAACTTAATAGGATGACAGATTTTATTGATAAGAAGTGCAGTGCACAGAAACTGCTGATCTGCATTTCTTATTTTTTGAGTTTTTGCCCTTTGTTGATTTTCAAATTTCATTTTTGTCTTTGCCATTTCTCTTAAACTATATTGTTCACAAGGCGACACATCCGACTCGCGGAGTTCTAGTTCAAGATTTGTGTTCCATTTGATGAAGGTCAGGCTGAATAACTTGTGTGCAAAATTCAAATCATTTTCCAAAATTGTTTAAGTTAATAATGTGAAAAATATCCATAAAAATTATGAAAACGTGTTTAGCTCAAATCAGGCTATTAATTGCACAGACACAAAAAAAGACAATTTTCAATTTAATTTTGAACATATTTCTTTGGTTTATGGTATTCTGAGATTGGCATTTTCTTAAGAATTGCATGTGCTCTGTTTCAAGAACAAAATTTTACTATGACTAACTCATATAACTGTGACCAAGCTGTTTTGGATATCCTGGCCTCAAACCTGTGTAGGTATATATTTGGCATGGCTTATAAGTTATTGAATACTCTCATGTTATAGTAAGTCCTATCTAGTCCTGTTTGTATATTACTAACTTTTTTATTGGATTTATCTGCCCTTACTTATTAACTATCTCCTTGTTCATATTTGTTCTGATTTAATGTTCTTTCGCACCAATGCCTTTGATCAAGGAGAAGGTATACGGATGATTGGATTTGAATTTGATATCAATGTCACTTGTTACACACTGTATAAACAAGACTTAGTCTACTTCCTCTTATTTCTAGATAGGTACAAAGAAAAATATATAGGCTTCCGAGAAGGTACTGTGATCAGAAGTAGTAGGTGCTTGTTATCTTAACGCCTGGTACACATTAAATTGTATAGGCTCACAAGAAATGGTATTTATTATTGTGGTGGCATGGCGTAGTGGTTAACGCTTCAGACTAGTAATCTCACGATCGCTACCCGCATGGGTTCAAACCCGGTCAGTCGTTGTTTCCTTGAGCAAGAAACTTTACACTCATTGCTCAGTACTGGTTGGTTCCAGGAACGGATTCGAAAGTGTGACTATAAGCATATAGCTTCCTGCACAATCAAACTAAAATAAATTCTGTATAAACCAAGACATGGTACAGTGTGTGGGGATCAAGGGCAGGGCTAAGGGGTCATTACCCCATCTTGACTTTGGCATGTTTTGGGGTTGTTGTTTTTTTCCAAATATGTATTAAATCCGTGATTTGGATATTTACTTAGATTTATTGAAGTGACAATCACACACAAAAAATTGACTCAATACCACCTCTGGAACTCTATTAGAATGCTAAACTTTCACTTGATTATATATTACCCCATACCAAAATTTGCAGTACCCTTTCTGGTAAAACATCCTTTATATGTGTACCTGGTACATTAACTTTGTAATCCAGTTTGTTTAAATGGGCTGAATTGTCTTAATTAAAAATTCACGTTAACAGTTTTGTCAAACTTGTGATGGAGACATTTGTGTTTTATAAACACGTCTGTTTTTTTTAACTGATGATACTAGGTTGAATTTTTCTGATGAACTTCCTTAATTTTTTATATATTGTCCACCTTTAACAGACAGTGTCTTTTTTCTCAGAATATGTACATTTTTATTGGGTTTTTTCCCCACTGTTTATTTTTAAATATGTATATCACAATGCAAAACGAGATGTAGAATTTTTTTTATTATATAATATATTATGCTATTATATTATGTATATATTGCCTGTAAAATTTACCAAGTAGTTTATTTGTATTATGTATTAGCTGTCTTAAACCCTTTTGAGGAAAATATGTTGTACAATTACCGTTTTGCATTTGATTGCTATATTAAGGTGGAAACATATACCTGTGAGTTATATGTTGAACATGTATATACCATTTATATAAGCTCTGTTTTAACCCTGGTATTTTTTAGACCAGCGACAGTGCAATAGTGAATATTCTCATAAGATTAAATAAAAACAAGAATAAGTAGGGCCACTCTAACGTCAGTGACATCACATTTAAGAAACATTGGTGTTAGTCTTAGCAAATTGGTGTCACACTAAAGGCACAATTATGGTCTAAAATTTATGATTAAAATTAATATTTTTGTTTTTTTCTAGAACAATTCTTGCTTATATTTGAAGTGATTGTTTTTCTTTCTAGTATTTATTCAGTACTTTTGATAACTTTGTATTATATTATAAGCCTATTATGTTATTTTTAAAATTTTACAATAAATTTATTAAAGTCTATGTTGTTTTATTGACATCCCAAAAATAGATTTGAAAAATTAGAGACTAATCATTGATCGGGAAATAAGAAGATTTTTCAAACATCAGTATTAAACCTTTATATATATTGTCACTTAAAGGGACTCCACTGAGGTTTTTTGACATGACGAGACTGGAAATAATTTTTTGACATTATTACTCCATTTGATGAAGATCTTTAATAATAATTTATGTGCAAAATTTCAGATCATCCGTTTTTCTAAAATAATTATTATAATAGTGAAAAATGACCCAAAATTAACTGAGAATAGCACAAACATATGGTTTTCAATATATTTCTTCTATATTTCTTGGTTATTTTGTATTAATATTCTGCTTCAAGTGTTCATGTTTATCTATGTGAAAAAATAAAATTTTATGTTTTGGGGCTTATAAACCTCCTTGGAGTTCCTCTGAACTGTATTTTGGGAAAAACACCCGTTTAGCTCAATAGGCATAGTGTTTGGCTGTGAATCAGGGACCTCGGGTTTAATTCCTGCTCGAGGAAGGTCACTTTCGTTGTGATTGATCCTGAAATCCATGTAGGTCATTCTCACGTGCATGTACAGTTATGGTAAACTGTTTGACAGCTTGCCCAGGACCGATGCGGTGGCTGAACTGTGCTCTTGTAAATGTATTACCTTACTGTCGTGATCCGAAGGGTAAACTACCAACACTACCACTGAAAAAAAATCTGCAAGAATGTTTTATTGTAAAGATTTATAAATCGGGGTAAAACATGAAAATGAAATGCCCACGAGCAAGCATGGTACATGTACACATTTTTAACTTGTTTCCGTACGCAATTCCTACCCTTCTCAACGGATTTAATCGAAAGTTTCTGAAAAACCATTGTCACCGATCATGATGCATATTCTCGGGATTTTGATCATTTTGAACAGAATTATGGTCCTTCGTTGATATTTTCATATTTGCAACAGATTTATACAGAAAAAGTAATTTATGTGATCATACTGGCTCTACATACTTTGAATTTATGTATCAAATTCTTGTCAAATTCTTGTCCTTCCGGTATAACTAATTCGTAATATTCAATTATTGTTATTTTTTTGCATTTTTAATACACCAAATGATGCGGAATAATTAGGAACGTGTTTATACGTTGTTTTGTTTGGTTTTTTTTTTTGGATGAGCACCTGTTAATCAACATAACTTGGGTTAAACTAAGATTATTATTAATAAATGTTATTTAATTTTTGAAACATTTAAATAACTGCAATCCTAATTTGAAATTAAAAAAATCAAACACTGAAGATACTTCAGATAATATCAATGCTTGCTTACAGTTTCTATATTTTGTATTTAACATCGAGCAATATAGTGACGCATTAAGATTATTTAGATTATAGTAAAAATAACACCGTAATATTTGGTGTACAGTACGTATTATACGTTAACGATGTTTCAATTTTAGATATCTAAACAATCACAACATTTATACTGTCTTACTTTATTTATCTACCCACAAAGAATGATAGATACTTTTATTTCCTCCACACGGGAGAGCATAACATATTTACCTTCAACAAAGAATGAACTTTTCAACCTTTTCACTTATAGGGAAATATGTGCCGGTATTATCGCAAACTTTATTGAATGGCTTAAAACTTTATAATCTGTTCATTTGTGATGCATAAATAATATTTCGTTAGTGTAATATTTTCTTTACTGAATTAATGGATACATGTAGCAATAGCCTGGAGCTTATATTGGTACAGGTAAGAAATTTATTATATAATTATTGTATAATTTATTGATAATATGACATGACAAGAAACTTCATAATTTTGATTGGAACACTTAGTAACATATTTTATTTTTTTATGATTTTACGAAATTATAGTCGGTCGACTTATTGAAAATTGATTATATCCGAACTTTGAGGTGTTATGATAAATATATAACATCATGTATAGTAAAAGAAGCATATATCATGTCCACAAATTATATAACATGTATAAAATTAAAAGTAACCCTTATTCTGAAGTCCTCAAGTCATAGAGTAATATAACGCATATTGAGACTGTATAACCCTTTAAGCAATATCGTGTCCATTTAGCTGTTATGTTTGTTCTCCCAATAATTTATAATATGTATTACAAACACATTGTTCAGTAACTGTATATTTACATATGTACGGTTTTACGATTTATTTGAATTTTAAATCTGCACAATCCTATTAATACAAAATAACATATTTGTCAGACACACAATCCTTTTACATGTAGAAATATGTGATTATAATTTCATGACTATGACATTTTCTACACATTTGACTCGTATGTTTCTATACATTTGACTCAATTTCTTTAAATTTGTTACTATAATTTCTATTTCAGAAATCAATGCGTTTTGACAGCAGAATTTTACTTTGCAATCCGTGGCCTGTTACAGAATAAGACAATGGATGATGTCCCTGAAAACCTAGACATTGTTCCAAACAGACAAACTCTTTTAGGGGAGAATCGCAATGGATCAGAAATAAATGAAAGAGGAAACATGTCGTTATTGAACATATCTTCAAAACCAAAACCATTAAAATGGCGCAACTGTTACACTTGCCATGATGAATGTGTATTTAAAGCTATTGAAATTGTGTTTTTAATCGGAGTTGTTGCTAATATATGTGTGATAATTTTAGTCCTGAAAGACAAAAAGCTTCGCACGCCAACGTTTATTTCTATTGGATGCCTTGCTTGCTGTGACGCTATATTTATTTCCGTAAATTTGATTAGTTCTATGGAAGTAGTTATTCGTTCTCTGAGCTGTTCGTACCCCTTGACTTACACGGGAAAGGCAACCTCTACTATTACTGGAATCTGTTGGTTTGCTGCTAACGCTCACGTGAGTGTCATTGCGCTAGTGCGCTACGTTTTGATGCTCCACCCTTTAAAATCACAGCTGTATCTTAGCAACAGGAAAATCATGGTGTCGTCTGCAAGTATTTGGGTGATTGGAATATCTATATGGATGCTAATTTACGGCCTAGCAGAATACAACATCGTGTCACCATCGAAATCTGTCACCTACGTTAACATTATATGGGGTATAGTTTACTTTACACCGTTAATGATCACGGTCTCCCTTCATTTTAAAAAATGGTACTTTATCCGGGTGGCTGCCCGAAAAAACTTATCCGGAAATGGAAGCATCCAAAAAATTGCAACGCGCATGAGCAGAGTTATACTCCTGATTATAATTTTAGCAACAGTGTTACCTTTACCAAGATTTGTGATCACTTGTCTGAGGAAAGACGAAAGTTCATTTCGCTCAGAAATTAGAAATTTGTTCATAAGGGATATTTCCTTTCTTTTGTTTCTGTTGAATCACGCAATTAACCCATTCTTGTATGCTTTTATGTCAACGCCGTTTAGGAAGAGTTTCAAAAATGTTTTCTTCAAACCAACAATGCAGACATTTAGGCTATCGAACGTGCAAGAAAGTTCACTAAGTACTTGACGACTAGATATTTTCTTTTGCAATGTGATATGAAACATTAATATTTTAGTGTATTTTCAAACAACATTATACATACTTATGTGTTGCGCGTAAATATATATTTGTTTTGTACTAGTCCTGATTAATTCAAACTATATATTATGATTTCTTTTATTACCTTCTAGTTTCCTACATCTGTTCCTAGTCTTACTTATTTAAAAACAAGATTTATGTCGTTTATTCAGATTTCTATTAAGATGACAACTAGCAAAGCTGTTTGTTTCCGGTTTTCTAATGGACTATATATATAAGTGCTTAAAATACTACAATCATATAGATTTTTGAGCATTTTCAAAAATGAATGATAGTAAAACTTGCTAATTTCTCTATGCAGCATTTTTCATAAGATTTTTTTTTTAATTTAATGGTCAAAGTCTCCACATAAGAGCATACTCTTTGGTCGTGTTTGATCCAGCCTGTGTCTTAAAGAAACAGTAATGACGTGTCTGGGACTATCATTAAGACATTTCATGTTCGTAGATATATTCCATTTAACGGCAAATCTTATATTGAAATTATTTGTTAATGTATAAACTCGTTTATAAAATGTACAAGTAAATATAAATTTCATTCAAAGAGAGATTAATGAAGTATCCTGTTGTTTGTTTATTATTATATCAGAAACTTATAAAGTTAATATTTGTACCAAGTATGAAGTATTACGAGTATTTTGAAATATTGAAAATAGATTTTAACATTTTAATTTCGTGACATCAAAACAACATCCCAGTACCCTGCTTTTCGTTACACCATTATTTTACAACTCATTTGTAATCTTACGAATCTAAAAAAAACACACAAAAACCACACACACGTATTCTGTACTTTTTGTTTATAAATACTGGGAGTTATTAATGTATGAATTCGAATATTTTGGTGATCCATTTTTAGATACAAACGTAAGTATGCAACTATTTTTATACGCCCGTTTGAAAAACGGGACGTATTATGGGAACGCCCCTGGCGGGCGGGCGGTCGGGTGGGCGGGCGGCGTCCAATTTTGTCCGGAGCATATCTCCTACATGTATGGAGGGATTTTAATGGAACTTCATAGAAATGTTCACCACTATGAGGAGCAGTGTCGCGCACATGAACCAGGTCTCTAGGTCAAAGGTCAAGGTCACACTTAGAGCTCATTGAAAATGCTTGTCCGGAGCAAAACTTCCACATGTATAGAGGGATTTCAATATTACTTGGCACAAATGTTCACCATTGTGAGGCGGAGTGTCGCGCGCAAGATTCAGGTCCATGCGGCCAAGGTCAAGGTCACACATAGAGGTCAAAGTTCAGAAAAAAATATGAAGATGTGTATATGGACCATTTAGTCATCATTTATTGAGGGATTGTAACACAAATGGTCATTATCAAGACTATGGCTGTGATACATATAATTTAGGTCAATATATACAAGGTCAAGGTCACTAAAGATGATGAAATATCCAGATTTTGTCCGGAGCATTTCTCCTACACGCATGGAGGGATTGTAATGAAATTTCAAAGAAATGTTCATCATTATGAGAAGCCATGTCACGCACATGAACTAGGTCTCTAGGTCAAAGGTCAAGGTCACACTTAGAGCTCATTGAAAAACGCTTGTCCGGAGCAAAACTTCCACATGCATAGAGGGATTTCAATATAACTTGGCACAAATGTTCACCATTGTGAGGCGGAGTGTCGCGCACAAAATTTAGGTCCCTGCAGCCAAGGTCAAGGTCACACATAGAGGTCAAAGTTTAGATAAAAATATGAAGATGTGTATAGGGACGATTTAATCATCATTTATTGAGGGATTGTAACACAAATGGTCATTATCATGACTACGGCTGTGTCACATGTACTTTAGGTCAATATATGCAAGGTCAAGGTCACTAAAGATGGTGAAATATCCAGATTTTGTCTGGAGCATATCTCCTACATGTATGGAAGAATTTTTATAATACTTTATGGAAATGTTCACCACCATGATATGTATTGCTCCATGATCCAGGTCAAAGGTCAAGGTCACACTTAGAGCTCATTGAAAAACGCTTGTCCGGAGCAAAACTTCTACATTCATAGGGGGATTTCAATATAACTTGGCACAAATGTTCACCATTGTGAGGCTGAGTGTCGCATGCAAAATTCAGATCCCTGCGACCAAAGTCAAGGTTACACATAGAGGTCAAAGTTCAGATAAAAATTTGAAGTTGTGTATAGGGACCATTTAGTTATCATTTATTGATGGATTGTAGCACAAATGGTAACTATCATGACTACAGGTGTGACACATTTATGTTAATATTTGCAAGGTCAAGGTCACTGGAGATGATTTAATATCCAGATGTTGTCCGGAGCATATTTTCTACATGCATGGAGGAATTTTAATGTTACTTTATAGAATTGTTCACCACCATGAGACGTAGTGCCCTGCACATGAACCAAGTCTCTAGGTCAAAGGTGAAGGTCACAGTTAGAGCTCATAGAAAAACGCTTGTCTGGAGCAAAACTTCTACATGCATAGAGGGATTTCAATATAATTTGGCACAAATGTTCATCATTGTGAGGCTGAGTGCCGTGCATAAAATTCACATCCCTGCGACCAAAGTCAAGGCAACACATCCTGTGCATATCTTCCCTACTGATTTGTTTTAAGGTTCATTTAACAACACAGTGCCAAGAATAAAAACTTGCTTGCTAGATAACACTTATCCATAATGTCCCCATCTCCATCTAAAGCTTTCGTTAACGGGCGTATTTTGTGACTATGGCACCCTTGTTTGTTTTAATTTCAGTGAAGTGTTCATTATTAATTTTTGTTTTACTACAGAATAAAGTGAAGCTCCGCCTCAGAATACATCTCTAGTCTTTGTTCGGTAGTTTACCTAGATAACTCTCATCTTTTCATCTTTCCTAGATTTCACAAACAAACATTAAAAAGCTGGGGGGGGGGCTATAGGAGATAGTGAAGCTCGACTAATTAAATACTGGACGCAGTAAGGAAGCAAACCAATAAAAGAAAGAAAAATCAATTATGATATAATTATATTTCTTTTTATGACAAAAGTTATAAATGTGCACATATATTCCAAGTTCAAGGGGGAATAATTCTGGAATTTGTCACACTAGAGTTATGGATTTTGTCACATAACATGTGTGTAATTATAAAACATATATATTTGAAGTTTGAAGAAGATACCTTAAAAAGTAAAGAAGTTATAATATTTCTTAAACAAAATTCAAAGGAAGATAAATCTGAAAATATTGCATCAAGAGTTGTGAACCTTGTCACATAAGATGTAATTGATGATAAGGAATATGTATTTGAAGTTTGAGGTAGATACCTTTAAAACTAAAAAAGTTATAGTAAAAAGTAAAAAAATCTAAGTTAATGGGGATATTCTTGCAATATCGGTGCTAGAGTTATGAACCTTGTCACATAAGATGTGATTTATGATAAGAAACATACATTTGAACAATTAAGCTGATCCCTAAAGAAATAACAGTTAAATTGGGCAGCCAATTAGTCATGTGATCAGGTTATTATGCATGACTTCTGACCCAGGTTGTGTGCAGCAATTTAAGTTATTACAAATCTTACCAAATAAAATATGCATACATTTTATGAATCATGTAGGCCTCATTAATGACAGCCAAGTTGTTTTATTACATAAGACCTTCAAATGTGTATACCAAAAGCATTTTTAGTTTAATATAAAAATATCAACCAAGGCAACTTGACTTATTGAGTTATTGGTCAGAAACCATCTTAAAGTACAAGGTCAATTTGACACTGACCCCTTGACCCAAAATTCAATAGGGGTCATCTACTGGTCATGACCAATCATCATATTAAGTTTGAAGTTCTAGGCCTAAGTGTTTCTTTAGTTATTTGATCGGAAAACCGTTTTTACTTACAAGGTGAATGTGACCTTGACCTTTGACCCAAATCAATAGGGGTCATCTACTGGTCATGGCCAATCATCATATAAAGTTTGAAGTTCCTAAACCTAAGCATTCTTTAATTATTTATCTGAAACCATTTTTACTTACAAGGTCAATGTGACCTTGACCTTTGACCCCAAAATCAATAGGGGTCATCTACAGGTCATGACCAATCATCATACCAAGTTTGAAGTTCCTAGGCCTAAGTGTTCTTTAGTTATTGATCGGAAACCGTTTTTACCTACAAGGTCAATGTGACCTTGACCTTTGACCCCTTGACCCCAAAATCAATAGGGGTCATCTACTGGTCATGACCAATCACCATACCAAGTTTGAAGTTCCTAGGCCTAAGGGTTCTTTAGTTATCACTCGGAAACCATTTGGTCTACGGATCGACGGACCGACAAATGCAAAGCAATATACCCACTCTTCTTTGAAGTGGGGGCATAATAATATTTATTAAGGAAAATTCTTAAGTTCAAGGGGAGATAAATCTGAAAATATTGGTGCTAGAGTTATAAACCTTGTCACATAAGGTGCGGTTGATGATAAGGAACATTTATTTGAAGTTTGAAGTTGATATCTTAAGAAACAAAAAAGTTATAGTGAAAAATATTTTACTGCACCTAAACTTTTAATCTGAAATCTGGATGCGGACGCTGGGGCAAGTTGGACAGCTCTCCATATACTTTGTAAAGTCGAGCTAAAAACTGTCATAATGGCGAACATTTGCTTGTTTTTGAAAAAAAAAAAACATCTTTTTCCAGTAGAGACATTTATTATGCGAAGTTACAATAGTAACAATAACATTATCATTTTAACGTATTGCTAAACCCACATTTATTCCAAGCTATACATTAACAGACAAATAAATACACATTAAATATATAAATAAACATGATAAATATGATTTATATGATAAAGGTTAAAACAATGAATGTTTTCAAAGACACTCAGAGAGCAGGGGCGGGGGGTAAAGGTTATTTGTCGCGCCACTATTATAAATGTCATATGCCCAACATGACCCACTGTCTAGCTTTATGTAGGCACTAACTGGCACCTCAGTAGAATCACCAACATGCCTTGAGCTAACTTGATAGCTTCCTCACATGAGGTCCAAAGTCCCCAGTGGAATTCAAATCCACAGTGGGAGGGGAAAGTGGTTTGTAGGTAACGATCTGAAAATAAAACCTTATTATAAATGTGATTTTAGAAATGTATTACCTGTTTACCCCAACTCACATGGAAACGATTAATTCCAATTATTGCTATACATATAAGACTTCAAGCCCATGTGTGTTGTAATAAAATCTGTGTTTCATTACATATGTAAATTGTAAAGATTTAGTTAATAAAATACACAGACTGGAGATGTCATTGATAAAATAAACTTTTCCCTTCTTTCTTTACATAGCTTTAAAGAATGATTTGATTTTTATAGCATCCACTCAGTTCTTTATTAGGAAGGACAATGGAGTTCAGAATGATCACTTCAGATGGTACTTGGACATCAGAACCTAAAATATATAAATAAACTCATTAAATAAATGGAAACCACGACAATAAAGTGTCATAGATTAGTCTGAAATGCCTGTGTACCTGTCTCTGCTGAATTATACATTGCTTAGTTTGTTTCTTTGAATTGTAGGTTACACCTACACTGTTATCACCAAATGGAGACATTTCAGCTTTACTGATGGAGAAAGGCCCCACCAGGCATTATTTCAGACAGGCACATTTGACACCTAAGTAAAACCACCAACCTCCTGACATTGATTAAATTTAACAAAACTGACAAGAAATTTGTCAAATGCATAAAATAACAATTATGATCCCTTCCTTTATTGGCGGCAACAGATTCTACCCATATGACCTGTGAAGAGCAAGTTCAGTAATAACATCCGCTATTTTTACTTTAATTTTTTTCTTTTTTAATGTGAAGTATAGTAATACCTGACTTACCTATTACTGTAATGGAAGGATTCAATTTGCCATCATTTGTAAATGTTTGGGTAGTTTCTATTTTCGCAAAAGGTTTATTTGGGTTTGGGTCGTTTGGAGTTCCCTCAATGCGAGTCCAGACACCAATTTGAGAATTCCATCCAATTATACTGTCTAACACACAACAATGATCCTGCAAAAATAGTTTACCAAAGTATTCTATAAAAAGATAAATAAATAATATAGAAAATGATGTTTAAGAATACCAAAATTGTAAATATCACTGGATCGATTTGATGCAGCATGACGGTAATGGTAAATGCATTAAACCTCCCCAATATGTTAGAACTGGCTTAAGCAGAACACAAAATATAACATGTACATGGTGTTTAATTAGGAATTTAGGAGCTTCCACCTATGTGATGAAAGTCTAGTCTGTAAAGCAAACTACATCAAAATCAACATAAAACATTTAAATTCTTTTTTTTTAATGATTAATTAACTACAACTGTTACTTCAATAAGTATTTATATTGAATACTGTCTTTCATCCTCTTAAATCACATCATTTTTATTCCATTTATAAAACAGATAAGGGCTGATTAAGATAAGGTAAGTTATAAACAAAATGGACGACAATTATAGTACCTGTAATACAGCTCCTTCTAGGATCACAGAATCCCTCACTCTGACACCTTCTCCTACAACACAATTCTTCCCAATAGTTGCATTAGGTCCTAGCTGAAATATATAAACCATATCACATTTTTATTATTGTTTAATTAAATCCTTACACAACATAGTTATAAGACTAAGAGCAGGTCAATTTTGCGTCAAATGTCATTTTTAAAACTGAGGGATGAAATAAAATATAATATAATGTAAATATGTCAATTATCAAGTGTTACTTCTAACATCAAGATGATTTTTAAGATATTTGCTATATCAATCTTAAGTGAAGTAGGAAGATAAGGTCTAGATTTTAAAAGTATGTACAGGACCACTTGGAACTCATGCATACATGCCATCATTGTCCCGTAAATCAGGGGACTGTCCCGAAAGTGTCCCGAGGATGATTTATATACATGTATGTCCCGGTAAAATTAGTCTTTAGAAAGCTGCAATAATCTCAATGCAACATTTAAAGGTTATAAATAAGCAAATATTGAATCAGGATTTATTTAAAATCATGTTGTTTGAATACAATGAAAACAATGTTGCATCCTTTGAACCCAACTTTTTTTGGTTTTAAGTCACAGCAACACTTTCATGGCCATGGCAACTTCCCAGCTTTACTGGTAGAGGATCACCTCAGGTGCATCTTCATGCATTTTTTCATGCATGAGCAAGCACCAAAGTAGAGCCACTGACGTTCAGTAAACTAACTGGAAAGCTTTCTCACAAGAAAGAATCACTGGCAGGGTTTGAACCTACAGTAGTGATAGTTAAGTGGTTTGAACTCAACAACCATAACCATTTGGCCATGGCCAACTCTACATAAACCTGACTTAAATTTGTTAAGTAGCAACTTTAAAGAAAGAATAAAATTTACAATATGTACCACAGCCGTTTCGTGAACTTGAGCTGATGGGTGTATAAACACGTCTCCACGTATTTGTGGTTTACCTACACTGTTCTTGGCTAAACGCTCCGGATGGGACTTTTGGTACAGATCTAGGTAATGTCTGTTAGCATATATTGCAGCTCTAAAATTATACAAAACATGAGAATATTTTTTAATAATTTTTAAACTAAAATAGAAAGGGAAAGGCATGAAAATAAAACAAAATACAAACCACACACAAATGACATTATTGAAGGCTAGCTGAAGTCAAGTAAGTTCCAAGATTATACATCCAAAAATATCAGCTATGCTCTGTACACAAGTATAAACTTCAAAGGGCAATATCTCCAAACAAATGCAAAACATGATTATAGTTTTTAAATTAGGGATGGCAACGAGTAACCGGTTAACCGATTACTCGATCGAACGTCCGAATATTGGTTAACAAAATTGATAATCGATTACTCGGAAAAAAATATCTAATTTCTACTTTTTTGCGATTTAGAAAGATTAGTTCAGAAATTCGGAAATGTACACGTATCTATATAAATACTTGTTAAATGCAATCAAAACATCCTTGCAGAGGTGTGAAAATGATATCGTAAATTTAAAGAGACGATCAGCAGTTTGACACGCGTATGAGATTGATCCGGTGTCGTTTACGTCATTCGGCCTCTTATGATATTTAATCGCCTTTAAATAATAGACTGTTTGTAGCCGAAACTTGTTAATTATAAAAATGTAAATATATACAGAATATAATGTTGTGTGGAAAAATTGATATCAAAATATCAATTTTCCAACATTGCCAGTAGAAAAATGCATAGGCTCAGAAAGCTTCTACAACATAATTTTCTTTTTATTATATACCTTTTCGTTTGAATTATAAATGGTGTTCATTATACTACACTATAAGAAATTTCAGAAAATGAAATGTAGCTGTCAAGAAGTAAATTAATGACCGACGGATGAATACGTAATTTTTGCAAAACCGGCCACGCCTTTTATAATTTTGGTTTCCGTTTTAAATGCTACGTTTATACAAAGCTAAGATCGGAACCAATGTCAAAAATAGTCTGGCACTTCCATATTTAGTACCGTATTTGACAATTTCTATCCGTTAATTGAAGCGTATTTGCATTTGCGCTTCAAGTTCATCATATTTTAGGGAGAAAATTTATAGGTATATAAGAAATGCTGTCATTGACATTTCTTATGTTTATATTTATATATTTCTTGCAGTCCTATTTATAGTTACGAATTCTATGAATTAAAATAGAAAACAAAAGTAGCATACAGACGGTGTTGATATTGATTGTGTGATAACACTTTAAAAATCATTAAAAATCATCCGAGTAACCGAGTACTCGATCAGAAAAATGACCGAGTACTCGAGTATTGATTTTGGTATTCGTTGCCATCCCTATTTTAAATACTACAATCATTCTAAATGAAATCTTTTCTTTTGTGAAGTATATGCCTGATGTAACAATTAAAATTTTGTCCAGAGGACACAGGCCCACTTTATTTACTTTCACAATAGTATATTTGCATACATATATGAATATTTCATTAGTCCAGTGTTAAATTTAGAATTATAATATAATTATCATAATTGTTTTATAATAAATAAGTGTCGCAAATCTATGACTGCAGGGAAACTCTTCTTTTTAATAACATAAGGTTTGATGCATCACTGTGACCTTGACCTACACAAATAAGTGGCAAACTAGTTATACTGTTTACATGACTTTGGTTGCGTTAAATTACAATTTCCACTTACCCAGCAGATTTGATTTGACTCCAGAATCGATCTGTATGGTACACATAAAGTTTACCGGTTGAGGCAAGAGGTACGAAGATGTCTTGTTCCATTCTAATCACTTCTTTTGCTGGAGCAGTGTTGTAGTCGCAACTGTAACATACATCATTTTAATCTTATATACATTGAGCAATATGAATATATAAAACAACCTGTTAACTCTCTCTCCGGTGAAAACATTTCATTTATGCTTCATCTCAAGGATAGATAAAATGTCATAATTCACAAATGTTTGTAAGTCTTGTTCTTACGCTGACTTTAACGCATTTCTGGTTATAACTCAGTGGTCAATCAACATAACCAGTTGTCCTAGATAACTAAATAAACCAGTAATTAGCAATTTTTCTGTAAGTGACTAATGCCACCCATGAAGGGCAGACAATTACTCCCCCCTCCCCACCACATCCCATATGGGAGAAATTGTTTAAAGGAGCAAATATCTATTTGTAAGTTAATTAATACATTATTTTTAAAATTGTCTCTTATGATATTGATTAGAGATATAAATTTAGAACTCTTAAGTATCTAATTCACAACAATTTCACATGAACATAAAGAGTACAATTTTGGTCTCTGGGTGTATGATTATTATAGTATGTTAATTAAACATCATTAAGAATATAATCTTTCTCAATGTATTTTTGATTTCTTATCCATCAATACAATAAAATCAATATAATATCAGAGCAAACTGGTCTCATTACTAGTTTCAACACAATAATATCAAATAAGATAATTATCAACTCCCTAGTCACCTATACTATCTCTCAATATTCCATTCATTGGAAATATAGTTTTTTTATTCATCTAAATTGAGTGATTACAAACACAAGTACAAGAATAATAAAATAACAAGATGCCTGCAGTATTAAGATTTATCATGCAATGTTAATGGAAAAATCTAGACTGTCATTAGTCTTCAAGAACTAAGTTTACCATAGTTTGTTTTAGTTACAGACAACATGATGCTATATGATATAAACACAATACTAGTTAGACAGAAATGAACACTTGACACTAAAGAAGCTAAAACAATGAAAATATTATATTTATGTGTAACTTGCAAGAATTTGTGATAAAGTTGATAGAAAATACTAGGTGTCTTTACAGCAGAAGGTCTAATAACCATTAAATCAATTCCTGTGAATGTCATCATGATAAAAAACAAACTAAGTCCATTGCTAGATGGAAATACATGTATTTGACCTTAAAAAGCTCAGTCGGGACATTCTGTTCATTGATTGACCTCAATATAATAATATAACCTGCATTTGCATTCATAAGACAAATGTGATCTTTGTTCCTTTTTGGTTGAGTATTTGGTCACATCAACACAGTATAGGTCATATGGCGACTTTCAAGCTTTTCTCGGTGGAGGATTTGACCTAAGGATCTCTTCCGTGCATAATTTCAGACACCTACAGGCACCCGAGTAGAACCACGACGTAACATAAGCTAGCTGGATAGCTGCCTTCCATCTAAAGAGTTCTATTCGAACCAACAACAGTGAGGGGCAGAAGGTATATTGTTTGATTCTGCCAAACAAGATACCTCTCAGTTTAAACTTATATATACAAATGTTATTTTCCACACATACAGGCCTCTCATGTATACATCTCTACAAGTTCAAATTTTCACACATACTCTCAGTAAAGTATATGCTTTATTTTCCATACATACAGGTATCTTTTTTCCAACTTAAAAACATATTTCAAAATTATCAATGCCCTTAGGTTAAAATAACGCAAACATACAATATTTTGTATACATAACGGCCCCTTAGCCACAATTCCTTATAAAACTATACACTCATGTAAATTATTGGTTAACCAACATAAATTTGCACATACAATTTGGCCATATTTTTGTGTCTTCATAAATTTCTATTAGAAACAATTTGTCAGTTCATGGATTCAGAATAACTGACATATGATTATATATTTATTAATTCCACAATGAAGAATACCATGATGTAAACTGTTTTTTATAAATTAAGGCTTTTTAAAATAAAATTATGCACTTTATACAATTCACAATATTCCAATGCACTGTGTAGCGAAAAAATCAGAAGTTTATATGATTAAGGCTCATATGAAAATTTACTGCTGAGTGCAGGACCAATATAAAAAGTATTATACAACACCAACACAAAAGCTAAATGCACTCTATCTTCTCAATTCATACTAAAAAACTGAAAGGGTCAAAGGTAAATCATGCTCAAAGCTTTTATGAAACTGTTATATGTTAAATTCATGCATTACACAATGCACTAAGTACAATGTATAAACTCTTGTTATTTTTCTGAATAATAAGAACAATTTATTAATTAGTTTAACATTCTACACAATTAAACATGCAGCAAAAATATATTGTTTCTTAACCTTTCTGACTAATAAAAACCTTCTAACAGGTAAAACAGTTCTCAATATTCAGAGAAGTCAGCTGTTTCTAATGGAAACAATAGCTTAATTTCTTAATTATTTACAGAGAATTTCTTACCAAAATTCTAACAAAAACAATGGTCAATTGGAATATCTAGTTCAAGAGTAACAAGTCTGAAATTGAAGCTCTACCATTGGTTAAATTTAAATCTACAACAATCCAATCAGACACTGGAGTTTTAGACTGGTATTTTAATTAATTTCTCTATTACAAATAATCTCTTTGATTAATATCCTCTATATCATTATGCACAATGTAGGGTATTTGGTAGGTCAGAGTGAAGTATCACAGTTAGCCTAGATTCACCTTTTACAGGTTATTTATTTACCTTGCCATTTTTTTTATATGTCTGTGAAATAACTGTCCAAATTCAATAATTAATATAGAAATAACTGCATGAAGGGGTGTGTCACATTTATTCAAAGCATGTACATGATTGTGTTAATACCAACAAAAGCTGAATGTATAAAAGACACCCCATGTAACTTTTGTATCATCATTCAATGCAAATGAGGGCTGTCAACTGACTAAACACATATACACATTTTAACTGGACAAAAACTGAACTGTTTGTATTTTAGTTTCATAGGGACTTGTATATAACATGTAAAAAAATTCTAAATAACTACATTGTTTTTTTTTAAAGATAATTTTTATAATTTTTAGACACTTCACCAGTCAAAATTTAACAAAAATTAATGATTTTTTATCTATCTAAAAGCTTTTGTTTTTTGGGGTTTTTTTCAGTCATACAATAGTCCCTATATAAACTTTTATCCGTGCATGCAAAGATATTTACCCAAAACCTTGTTCATCATAGCTGATGAAAATACATAATTATTTAATATCAAATAAATTGTAACAAATAATGTTTTTTCTAAAGAAATTAACCTAAATAAACTAAGTATCAATATAATTCAACATTCAAATAACTATTTCATGATAAATTAATCATACACCTTATAAAATCATTAGTTTTTAATATAAAAAAAATGCCCATACCAATCTAGCAAATTGAATATAATCTCCACCACATAGAACATTTTATTGATGATACCTTCAACCTTAAGGATTAACACATGACCTCTTACACTTAGCGTGTTAGCGGGATTTGATTCTACCCATGCAAACAGACCATTGAACACGTCAAATTTGTGCTTCCTGATCTTACCCTACTCTGTTCGCTATTCCGTCAATAATTTCATTCTAAGAGTCAAATTTTAACTATATAAATCATTCACTGTACTTTGTACTTTATCACTTCTTGTACCAAATTTTTAATGCTTGTTAATGCGAAGGAAATAAATTCGACTTAGAACTATGATTAGCTGCTTAAAAGAGATTTACCTCCAACTAACATTTTACAGAATCAGATCAACTTAAATGATTCTAGTTAACACTGCGATGTAATTCTAAAATTACCACCACTTTTCAGCTTAACTGATAAAAGACAACCCTGTGTGACTATATATTTCTTGTTTTATGTGTGAACTGTTGGCACCTGAGAATGACAAAAACAAGTCACAGACTACCTTGCTGTATTCCTTATAATACAAAAGGTTTTGTAACATTTGTTTCTACACATTGGAAATAAATCTATAATGTTGTTAAAATGAAGTGATATAAAGACAAAGACCCAGACAATTCCCAATCATTACTTTATGTAAAGCTTTACCAATGAAAAGGATCTCTAAATTTGTGATAGAGAAAGCAACATCAATACTGGACTGTATTTTTTGTTATCAATCTTGACTATCAGACCATTATTTTTTGTTAATACTAAAAACTAAAAGAGTGAATATATACTGTTGTTTTGAAGAGAAAATTATTAGTGAGATACAAATCATATCACACTGTTTGAAATGAGTGAGATACATAACTCAATACATTCAGAGAGATATATAGCAAAGGAGAATGCATACTAAGAAATGATTTTCATAATGTCATGTGTTATGGCGTGAGAAAAATTGTGCAGCCTGACCAGGATTGAACCCTGGACGCTTGGAATACCGTTTATCAACTCTACTGACTGAGCTGTCCAGCTGCTTACACATTATCTCCCCTAAATATTGAACAGTTTTGAACTGTAACACATGGATGCAACGTTACAGTGAATACTTGTAATTCGAACATCTAAGTCAGTCCAAATCATTCATTTCATAAAACTATACGGAATAAAATCATCTTTTAGAAGACAGACTTCTCTTATAGTTTCAATCTCTACTTTCATTTGTGCTTTTTTTGAAAATATTTCACCTCTGATTGAGATGTGTTCTATATTCACATTGGAAAAACAGAACAAACAAAATGTCCTCTCTCTATCTCTCATACATGAGTATTATAACAAAGTCAATGAGTGTTTAACACAAGCAATTTAACTATCGTAGAATTAAATAAGCAACATTCAACAATGATAATGATGGCAACCATACTTACTTCTGCGCTAAACTTAACAAACAAAAACAAACAAATGAGAAATGATGATATCAGAAAGGATAAAATGGTATACATGATCATGATATATATCCCTAGTTCCATAAAAGCAAGTAAAAAATAAAATCTTTATAAATATATAATGTAGTATGTATATATTAGCAGTTGAAAGAAAATATTTATCACAACTAGAACTTATTTCTTAATTCCCCCAACCCTCATTTTGACACAGAAATATACCTATTAAATATTCATAATCTATATATTTTCTTAATTATTCAAATCAAGCTTTTTCCTAGTTTACAAGTTTCTAATAAATATCAGATTCCTCAAGACTTGCTCTGAACAAAATGAAATCTTTAAACAAAGGGAGATAATTACAAAATGTAACAAGTTAGAGTAATTGTTCTTGGTTCCAGCTATAACCCCCAGCCTCCATTACTCACAAACATGTGTTCAAATGATCAATTTTTGTTTTCTTTTCCTTTAGTAATTTCACTTGTGAACATAAAAGCATTGATATTCAAGAATTTCTTAACAAATTCATGGCTGTAAAGACTAATTCATGAACAATCGATGAATAAACATTTTTCAAATTGATATGTAATATTCGTAATTTGCACATAATTTCTTTAAAAGATAGGCTGAATCTTGATCCACTGTTCATGATTCACTGATGAAAAACAACTTAATAAGAAATCTTCTGCTTAAAACCTTGCTAAAACTCTGAATAAAGATTACTACATACTTGTAATTCTGCTCCAAATTTTTCTTAAATTCCACTTCCAGGGGACCAAACAAGGTGGGAGAACACAAGTAGATTCCACAATTTATTGTAGTGCTGATGAACGTTTCTGGCTTTTCCACATAATGCATTACCTAAATTAAGCAAGAAAACATTTAGTGGCCAAAAATGCCCCTCGAAAGTTTTTAATGAAAAAGTCTTCAAGACCAAACTATTTTTTTTTAATTTGTGCATACGTCTGAAACAATCATCATTTTCTCTAAATGTTCTTGTTTGTTGAAAAAATAAATTTTGAGTTACAATGTTAAGATTCTTTTAATATTTAAAATTATGCAAAGTAGCATGTAGAAATTTTAACTGAAACATGAAAAAATTGAAATAAAACACCATTGTCGCGATTTTAATGATGACATACTGTTTTCAAAATGGCCGACATATGGTCTATGTCTGGCTTATTTGAACTGATTTTGACTAAATATATTGTTGTTTCCTTGTGTCATACAGCAGAAAACACCTATATGTTACAGCTTATGACAATTTTTGTACCATAAGTTTCATTTGTTGTTTTCTTTCTTACTTCAAAGCGTTAAGTACCGTGAACTAAGAGGAGCACAGTATAATAAATTACATGTATGGCTTTTTCTAATCCTTGACCACATAACATAAACATCTGAAAGATAATGATATATACACTTGGGCGAACAACTATTGTAGTATCAAGTATGTGCTAAATTATATATACAATATTTACATGAAATGATTGCTTTGCAATTATTCATAACATTATTAACTTTAACCTCAAAATAGATATTCTTGGTAAATTGAAATAACATAATTCAGTTATTATTTCTTCTTTTGGGAAAATGTTGCTGAAGATTTAAGTGCCACACCTGGATAATGGACCGTTTAAACTTTATACCATTCTTAATATCTTAAATGGACTTGTTCATCTTTCAAACTGGATTTAACCATTCATCATTTTGGAGGGAAATTTTTAAATATGTACTGACTCAGAAAGCAACCAGTGCAGACGAATGATTCAAAAATGATTATACAAAACTTGAAAGCAAGGTTTAACAAATATTTCTCGACATTTAGCAGAAAATTACATGTACCGGTATACTTAAATGAAGAGTATATAAGGCTAACAATGAAAAATTAGTTTTGTAGCTGTGCTCCCCTTTCTACCTGGCATACCCTTAATAGTTAGTATTTTATTTTAAGATATAAATATAACATATTATGATTATGCTTAAATTCTTCATTTGTTTAAAACTAAAACACAAGCATCTACACAGCTGAAAATGATGAATGGTTTTGTCCAGATTGAAAGATTGCAAAGTCAATTTAAGATTTTTTGCTAAATTGGTGAGGGTAATAAACCTATTTTTATTTCAACTTAAATGAAAATAATTACTGATTATCATGACAAAAACTAGATTGAAAATACAGTTTATATTCAAACTACCCAATAACTTTAAAGTAGCTTCAGTATAGTCTAACTGGCCATATATGTTGCATGTATTAATTTAATAAACATTTGCAATCCTTACATAAAGCAGTGCAGGTAAGAAAATCAAAGTATTTTGTTTTTAAAATTGTATAGGTCTTTCAAAGTGTTTCAAAAAGAGAGAAAAAAGCAGATAAGCTCCAAAATATAAATTCCAGCAGCAGAAACATCTTCCATAAAGTAACATGTATCGAATCCCTTGATCGTATTACAAACTCCAATTTGACAAGCACAATTAAAGTCAGTGTATATGTACATATATAAATAAATCATCATGTCAATTTATCAAACTTAAGAAGATTTTTTTTTTTTAACCAAATGAAGTAGAAAATAATAGTCCCACACAAACTTTCATCACTAAAACCCTCACTGATAAGATATATGTGTATATATTGAATAATTAGTTCAAATTAAAATTTGAATTTTTGCAAAAAAACCCTCTTTCATAATCTATATACATGTATGTGAATTTGTAACTTTTCTTTTCTTTTTCTCAAGATATACAGTAAACTCCACTTACAACTATATTCAGAGGACTACTGAATTTATATTGTTATATCAAGATATCCAAAAGGTAACCAATTTAAAAACAAAATGTCAGGACCACAGCATTTTATAAGTGGTATATCATTATTAGTGATATCAATATAAGTGGAGTTTACTGTATTTGTTCAGCTCGACTAGACAATGAAAAAATGAGCATAATGTCACTTTTACAAACTTCACATATGATGTAAGATGATTTTCCCACTTTCTTTTTAAAAAAAATATTTGCATCCCTGGTGCAACAACGATAGAAAATAATATTGAAAGTTTAAGCAAAAAGAAAACTTCTTGACAAAAAAGAAAAAACTAGCCCAAATGTGTGTTGCAAAGGGAAGAAAAGATAAAAAGAAAAGTTGTGTACCTGACCAACACTTAACTTAAATATTAGAAAATAAATATGTACAACATTCATATAGTGAAAAGAAAATGGCTTCTCCTGCTTGGGTTCTTAATTTAACTATCAATTAAAGAAATAAATTAGGTCTAATTATCTGGGGGGGTTTAAAGTACAAATACTTGCATATATTTTTCATATTTTTATAAAATAAAAATCCTAGGACATTTTGCTATTCTTCTTAATTACAAATAATAAGGCATTTTCCTATTTTTCTTAAATATAAATCCTAGGCAATTTTGCTATTTGTCCTAAATACAAATCATAGAACATTTTGCTAAATGTCTTAAATACAAATCATAGTAGATTTTGCTATTTGAAGTCTAGTCACATTCAAAACTGTTCAGACATTCAGAATATACTTCTTCTTTGAGAAATTTGATAAAATCTAGACAAAAGCAGATGGCAATTTATCTGACGACAAAGTTTCCCAGCATGCAAAGAGTTAAAATATAACTGAACAACTGAATTTATTTTAAGTAGCTCTAACACAACATTAACGTTACTTGATTATATGATGTTGTTGAAGTATAAGAAAATAGTTATAAGAAACAGTTTTACAAGGCTTTGTATTAAAATAATAAATAACAATAAATAACAATTATATATGTACCTCATGTGTATCTTTACTCTCTACAATACAACCATATGTCAATGACTGCTGCCGTGTTGCCTGCAACACAGTTACAACAAAAACCAGTGAAACAAACATTGTCATTTCACTCTCAATATTTTTGCATTACATTTTTTAACTTGAAAAGAAGTCAAGATGTAACCCTTAATCTAATATATTACATGTTTTGTTAGACCACAAATTATTTCTGGAATGTTTACATTCCTCACTTATACTATGTAATTACAAAAATCTTTTTTTTTTAATACAACTCTCATCAGGCCTAATGTAGGACTTTTTTGAGATGACATAGTGGAATTTACATGAATTTAGTGTCAACAGTTACATAAATAATAAAATTATCAGTCCAAACATCTGACCATTACCTCAGTTCCGAGAATGGTACAATATGTGGAAGCTGGTTTCTTCATATGAAACTGTAACATTTCCTTTAAAGGAAAATCTCCGCACACATCCGCATTCATCAGGAAAAAATAATCCGGATTTCCTGCAAGAATCTGGTCTCGGAAATGATAAATCCCACCTGCTGTTCCAAGGGCAGTGTACTCTTGTAGATACCTTTATGTATGATGATAAAAGAATTCATACAGATTCAAACAACAGAGAACTAATATATTACATATATTAAGATCTTCATAAACTTAAGTCATGCATCAGACACGACCATCTATTTGCAAGCATAATATGACTTTGGACAGAAAAGTTTGAATTAACCTTTGATTTTGATAACTTGATCATTGCAGCACATCACTTGTTCTCTAATTAGGGCATTTATTAGCATAAATATATAAAATTTGGGCACTGAGTATTACTGTACATGTGCAAACTCTGTGATTAAATTTGCTCACCTTATCTGAATTTTAAACTGTTGTTGTGCTTGAGTTATAAATCTGTTAAGAGCATCATTTGGCTGGTAAAACCCAATCAGTATCACTTCCTTCATTCCTTCAACCTGAAAATAGAAAACTGTCTTTAACCCTTAATCTGCTGGAGCCACTTTATTTTTGCATATCTATGCAGACTGACCAGGCTCTATACTGTTGGATGTTGAAGTTAAATATCTTAACATTGAAATCCCTTAAACTTCAAATTGAGTAATTCAAAGCATGGCAGTTTAATTCTATTAATAAACTTAGCTAGTTAACACTCAAACTATAAGAAAGTTACACAAAACTTTTTATATCAAATGCATATATGTATATATATGTAGTATTTGGTATTACCTAGTTTAGTTTAAACATATTTATTCAAGCTTGATTGCAAAACAAGTTCTTGCAACTACTTTCAGTTTACATTAGGGATAATTGTACGTCACTTCTGGTTTGAGGTCGCACATGCTAAACGGATAGCAAGTCTATCATCTTTGCGATACCAGGTTTTGTAACGGTAATATTAAAGCAATTTCTGTGAATTTTATTCGAATTTTAGGAGAAATAAGTTTATTAAAGTATGTTAAATACGATTAGATACTAAAAACAGCAATTTTAAAGCGAGCTCAGGGATCTTTAATCACTTTCAAGCACGCTTCCTGGAACTAACCAGTACTGGTGTCATATGAAGAAACATGATTGTGACCAAAGTAGAGCTCAAAGCCATGATCCTGGGTTAATAGGCAGACACCTTTACCACTATACAACTGTTTCCCTCAGTGGTGGTAGTACCTGTGCACATGCTTCCACATGATGATGTATTATAGGAAATCCTGCAACTGGAAACAATGGTTTTGGAGTTTCTAAGGATAGTGGACGAAACCTTGTTCCTGAAAGATGAAGAAAACATGAATTTGTTTGCTTGTTTGTTTTTATTTATATGCAGATATTAACACCATTTTGATCATATCTCAAAGGTTGACTTTGCTGGTTGACTTACTTGCTTTCTTGGATATAACTTTAAGTCTTTAAAATCACCACTAATTTCAGAAAGTGATGAACTACTAATCCCACTTGATTTCTGAATCAGCAGTGAATTGCAAATGACCATTACACTTAATGTCTGTCAATGAGAAATTTCACTTTGCCCTTGTATCAAACCAGCAACAACTGGATAAAAAATTTGTTGCTCCCTCTATTGGAACCAGGTAAACCTTATTTTGATCAATTCCTCAATATTCAAAAACGTGATCTCATTAAATGCATTAACTTTGAATTTACTGGGTCCTCAGACCTGATAATACTGATCACTGATGTGGAATGAAAATATAAGGACTGATATAATTTTTTTGATGTCAATTAATTCTTGTGCTGAAATTTTGTCGGAAGGATCTTCCGGGTTTTTTGCTGTTAAAAATATGTGATTTTTTTCGGCAAAAAGGGTACGAGAATATAATTTTGAAGTATATATTCATCACCAGTGGTTTCTAAATTTAAATGAATTCAAAATAAAAAAGTTCACGATATATAGCACTTTTGTATGTGTTTACCATGTGCAGCCTCCTCGGGAGTACTAATATGTTTAAATGAAACAAACGTTTTCATTGGTTATCACGTTCACTGTTTACATTTCAGCGACAGGGACCATTTTAAAGTATTTTAGGTAATTTAAGTTATTTTTTGTCATTTTATGATTCTTTTAAGGACAATGTATGGTTTAAAACAACAAATGTACATGCCAGTGTGAAAATTTTCATGTTGCAGTGAAAAAATTGTCATTTTGATCAGCTCAATTTCCGACAGTTTTGATCATAGCTGGTTGAGACTTAAAGAGAGACATCTATGAAATATCAGATTATAAAATCGGTCTGTCTTGCAGTCGAAATATTGAGACTAGATACATGTAAACTCATTGTAACTATACCTACCTACCTCAGAGCCAATTAATCTGGATTCATTATTTTCCTAATGATAAGATGATAAGCCTTTGTATTTGTATTTTTTTCATAGTTTTTCTGATAACAGTTTTATTTATTGATTGATCTCTTAGATATTTACCCTCTCCCCTATCCCCGCGGCATTTAGTGGGGATTTAGACAAAAATGGTTGTCTCTTGGGTGGGGATTTAGACTTCAAACATTTAAGATGTCAAATTCCCCTGGGTCAGCCCCCCCCCCCCCCCCCCCGGGCAGGCAAAATAAATTACAGTCGTTTAGGGTGTTCCGGATCTTAGTTAGTTCCGGACCACTGTCAGTAAACTAATAAAATTGTGAAACATGTGGTAAATATTTCTTGAAATGGTTGTTTGATTTTGAAAGAATGGTCTTTTCTGGAGAAATTGTCGGTTATTTATTTACCAAAAGCGATTTTCATGACATGATTTTTTTACTGATGACAAGTGACCTTCACATTTACTCCAGAAAAAGTACGGGAAAAAAATGGCGATTCTGTGAACAGGGCCTCGTGAATCGGTAAATATTGAACCAATACATCATGTTTATATACCAAAATGTTCACAAACATGTCATCTGTCAATCAAAATAAGCGAAAATACCATCACCTGTTCTTGACAATAGTCACATGCCATGAAATGAAAGCAGTCGTTCGGCTAGTTTCGGATCACGTGACCTTCCATACTGGGGGTGTTCTCAAAAGCACTTTGGACTGTCAAAACAGCTGATTTCAAGTCACAATTGATGTTTAATAATGTTGTAAATTAAAATGTGTTACTGTTTTGATAATTGGGATATTTTTCCTGAATTATAGCTGATTTATTGAGGATTTATTTGTTTGAAATGTGATTTTTTGTTAGAATGTTATCTAAATGTATTTAAATTACAACTTTATTTAACAGACTGACAGAGTTATTCATGCAAAATATATTTATGTGTTTCATTTTTTATTTCCTGTTGTATGGTGAAATTAAAAACAATTTCAAATAACATCAGTTGCACTTAAATATGTAATTTATTTTCAGAAATGGGGAAACCAAAACATCAGAGTCCAGCTGTCAAAAAAGCAAACGCAGTTAAAAAGAAGTACAACAGGGGCTCACCTGGGAAATCACTCCGGTGCAAGAGAGCAATTCTGGCCATAGAAAAAAAAGAGGTAACTATCAGGAAAGCATCAGAACTGTATGGCTTATCTTATGGTTATTTACATAGGCGTCTTTCTGGAGAGGTTGAATTAGATAGTCGAAATGGTCCACAGCCGATTTTCACTAAAACTGAAGAAGAGGCGATGGCACATTGGCTGAAAGAAATGGCTAGTCGAGGCATGGGGTTAAAGCCGGGAGATTTTTTGGACTTTGTTCAGAAATTAGTCACCAATGAAAAGAAACAAACACCATTTGCAAATAATAGGCCTGGATATGACTGGTACTATGCATTCATGAGGCGTAATAGTCACATCGTTGAAATGAGAACTGAAACCCCACTGGAAACTTGTAGAGCTAAACTTACAAAAGAGAAGACAGAAAAATGGTACAGTTCATTTAGAGAGTTTTTGTCATTGAAAGGATTGATTGATAAGCCAACCCGCATATGGAATGCTGATGAAACAGGGTTCAGTATGGGAAGTACATCCGGCAAAGTCATTGGCCCAACAAGAGCAGAACACCCAACTCAAGTGCCTCATTTGTCTGGTGGTCACAGTAAACAGCGTCTTACTGTAATGTTCTGTGGGTCAGCAGATGGAACAATGATGCCCCCCTTCTTTGTTTATCCTGAACCTAAACCCAGAGGATACAATCCGATGACTGGTGCTCTTTATGGATCTGACATAGCGTACACAAAGAAAGGCTGGATGGATGCTCCTACATTTGAGAAATTTCTAGACCACTTCCATAAATATGCTGGTGAGGAACGTCCAGTGCTTTTGTTAATCGACAGTGTCAGCAGTCATATTTCTAGTGCAGCATTTGAGTTAGCTAGTAAAAGGGGTATTGAACTTTACCGAATAGTGGTGAATGCTACCCATCTAATGCAGCCACTGGATGTTGGGGTGTTTGGACCCCTGAAACAGCGTTGGCACCAGGTTGTCAGAACCCACACACGAAATAGCCCCGGAACACCGATCAGCAAAGAGAACTTTGCAGAAAAACTGAAAGAGGCATTTCTGTTGTTTTACAAGCCAATGACAATTATCAATGCATTTCGGTCCTCTGGAATTTACCCTGTTGACAGCACTGTGATCACTAAGGAGCACGTGAAACCAGGTATCACATTCAGTAGCACAGAGTCAGCATCTCTGGAGATAGAGTCCAATACCGAGTGTTCCTCAAGTAAATCAACAACAGTCGCAAATGTGGAACCACCGCATGGACCATCACTGGCTTTTCAAGCATTAGAAAGTGCACTAACAACACCTACAAAGGCAAAATACGCTAAACGTCTGGAAGAGGGATATGATATTCAAGGTCAATCTCCATGCTTCGATGTATATAAGAAGCTGTTGTCTGAATCGAGATGTGAAACTGTAACCAAAGAGCCTAAAACTTCAGAAAATGCTACAGACTATCTGACAGAAGAAACTTCTAAGGACACAGCTGTGGTAACAAAGTCTCAGCCTGCTGAGGTCATATTGGAAAGTGATCATGACAATATATTTGTACAGAATGAACAAAATGTTGAAAAAGAGCCTGTCTCTGGACTTGATTTGCTTGCATCAGCTGCATCTTTACAAAGCCAAGACTCAGTTCAGACAGAAATCAGATCACCAGTGTTATCACCAATATTGAAAGAGTCGCTTACATTCCCATCAGCAGAGCAGAAAACAAAACCAAAACGAAAGTCACAACTTGAAAACTTACCGGACAACCTCACATCATCAGAATCTCTACGTAGCATGTCTCTGAAAAGCTTAAGTAAGATTAGAGCATTTAAGGAAAGAGAGCTGAAGGCAAAAAGAAAGTATATGTCTCAGTTGCTGAAGCAGAACAGTAAAACAAAAGCAAAAAGTAAGAGAAATACTAGCACATCTGAAGGCAGCAGTTCTAGTAATTTGAGGTCAGCTGGGAAAAGAACAACTAGAAAGAATGTTAAACAATCAAAAGCAAAAGAGTCTTCAAGTCAAGAAGAGGATAATGTGACATGTATGCGTTGTCATATACGTTTTCTTGAGGAGCGCGAACTGGGGGTGGAACATCTATGGGTACAATGTGACCTCTGTGATCAGTGGTTGCACACAGAATGTAGTGAAGACCCTGTAGTTAGGGACGATGACTTCTACTGCTATAAATGTGAGTTCTAATCACATATTCAGCATTGCACAAAACTACACCTTACTGTTATATAAACGTTCATGTATTATGTTAACCCATCCCCATATAATATGTTTTAATAACCAACATCAAAGGCCACACTGCACTGTTTGCACTGTATTATTGAGTCATGGTTATATTATTATGTATGACTGCTGAAACACTGTTGAAAACGGCATACAAATGAAACCAACCTTATTATTTTAGGTAGAAAAACAGCTTTCCTAGCAATTCCATTATTCTGTATACTGTATTGTCTATTTTCAGGCAAAAACCAATGAACCAGTTCAAGGCCCTTCAGAAGCAAGTGATCCTGCTTTGTTAAAAACTATTGTGCTGGAAAATAGTGTTGTTAAGGGATACCACGCATACCAAATCAAACCACCAATTACAGATCCACCAACTAAACTTAGGGTGGACAGAGAGTACACTAACATTGTTGATCGAGATGCCTGTCTAGTATGGTTGCCAGAACTTGAGGAGTTCGATGAAAAACTGCATGACGTGATTACAGACCATCAGAGGCACTTAAAATTATCAGATATTGCTGGTTTGCCTGTTGGACATGCACCCAGAGTGTTAGCAGGGTTTTTCAGGACTGTGCTAGACGAAGATGGCAGTGTGTATGCTGTTGCTACTGGTGAACCCTGTCAGAGCTTTCCTCCCTGGCCAGCACCTGGGGACAAAGGTGGTGGAGCAGTTATCCCTTGCTCCTATTATATTACAAGTACACCAAGCAAATTCGAATATAACCTTTCCTTGTTGAGCTCTACTTTGGAAAAAATGGCAGAAGGTTCAGTTATGAAAGTGTCATGTATGTAGTTATTTGTACATGTAGATATATCAGTTTTGAGCACACTCTGTGACATTGATCTGAACATTATAATTATATAATGTGTACTTTTCTAGTCCTTTTGTATGTTGTCTATTTGATTATTCTTTGATTAACTGTGATTGCCCTGTTCAACCAATTATTTAAGATTATGATCTCAATCAGTGTTTACATGCTTTAAAATCTAGTCATTTTGTATGTTCTCTATTTGATTATTCTTTGATTAACTGTGATAACCATGTTCAACCAATTATTTAAGATCATGATCTCAATCAGTGTTTACATGCTTTATAATCTAGTCATTTTGTATGTTGTCTATTTGATTATTCTTTGATTAACTGTGATAACCATGTTCAACCAATTATTTAAGATCATGATCTCAATCAGTGTTTACATGCTTTATAATCTAGTCATTTTGTATGTTCTCTATTTGATTATTCTTTGATTAACTGTGATAACCATGTTAAACCAATTATTTAAGATCATGATATCAATCAGTGTTTACATGTTTTATAATCTTGTTAGCTACTGTGTCAATTGTTACCATCTTGTTTGATAAATAATTCTGAATAATAATAGTTTAATCATTATTCTCTTAATTAAATTGACCCATGTGTAAAATGGCCTTTTTGTCTGTTCTTCTGATAATTAATGCCAATGGCTCTTACAAACAAAGAATATTTCTAAAACACATCAAAAATACTGATTAGTAACCCATTGGGAAGGTTTTTGAAAATGTTTTGAGAAGATCCCCACTATGGTCCGAAACTGCCTAAACTGAACCGGAAATAACCGAAAAGGTCATGCTGCTCGAAGGTACAATCAAGAATGAAAGCTAACAGCTTTTTGCAAAAACTTATGTTGGTTAAAGAGAGGAAGAATTTATCTTTCTCTTGAAACAAATAAAATTCCAACAATGCTACTTTCAGATAAGTGACAAATATAATTGCTGTTAGCGATCCAGAACACCCTAAACGACTGTATGACATTATGGAAGCCAGAACTATTCATGATCCAGTCAGTGGGACTTTGCAGCCAATTCATATCAATGGCATTACCTTTCATGGGTCCTCCTACTAAAATGATAGTTTTCAACATCATTTTTTAGAACTAAGTAAGCAAAATACCAAAGAGAATACAATAAATCAAAGTTTTTAATCGTTATTTTGACAAGTGCTGTCGTGTAAATGATCACTATCAAAAAACGCTTGAAACGATTGGAGTTTCAACAACTACCGAAAAGTATTTCAATAACAAAGAAGCGTCGTAATGAACCGAAAGTCAATTCTGAAGCAATCAAATTAAGATGAATATGTATGTTCAGTAAGTTTATACGCACAATACTTAAAAAAATTAGTTAAAGACCTGCTAAGATTTTACAAAACATACATTGTCTCATAATTTAAAACGAAAACACGTGAAAATGAATCTGCTAAATAAAAACACTGTATTTTCAAATACTTAAAATGTATGTTTTTACTTATTGAATAGTGTATTTTTAGCTAGGTTTTTCAATGTAAAAATGTATATTTGTTATAAATTGTGTTATAAACAAGTCTTGCGTAAATTTCAGTTATTGTACATTCGCATATTTTAATTGAATTTTGAATGCTTACTGTATATTTTATATACTCTTATTGTACGGAGAATATATGTAATTAATATATGTATACAATGTATCTATGACATTTTTGTTATCGTCCGATCATAGATTTTCAGCTTATGTTTCAAAATTGATAACAACTGACTTAGAGTTCTCTTTATTTGTGTCATATATAAAACTTATATCGTACATAAACAAAACTAAGTTTTGTAAGAACTATATCATTTGAGACGCTTCTTGTTCATGTAATATTACCATTTTTATCCTCTCGTATCATATAATCGACTGCCGTCTTTACCGATGAATATATCTGCATACCAATATACACAATCAACATTTCTGAAGGTATAGTGGAATTTTACTTTGACATCTTTACAATAATTTCTTTCTAGTCAGCTTTAATCGGAGGGGTATCTTTAATTATCTATCCACCATATTTTTATAATATCTTAATGCAGCTGGAGTCAGGGACATAAATATAAAATATACTTTCCTTTTGAGGCACATCATTGTTTAGATTTATTAGGCTATCATTTTCTTAGTTTACCCACATGTTATTCACTTTTTTGTGAGCGTGCACAAATATTTATGACTAGGATCGACAATAATCTTTCATATTTATAATTGAATTTCTAATTCAAGCAAATAAAGCCATTCTGCAGTATTATAAGTTCATTAAAAAGACTTTTGACGTGTTATATGACCATGGATAAGAAGCTTGATTAACCTTCACCTATCGGTTGATCGGGTTATGTAACATTATAACCGTTTATACAAGGTGAAAACTCTATATAACTTTATACCAATTTCTTAATAAATTAAGAAAATATAAAAAAAATAGATAAATGTATATACACAACAAAATATTTTATTTCAAAGCAAACCGTATGAAAAATGCTTACAATTTAGTGGAAACATCATATGTATTACACAATATATACAACCATGCAGGCGCACTTTGACTATTATTTGTACAGCCGACGTGTTTTGTTTAGTACGGAAATAACATCTGAACATGTAACGGGTGAATAAACTATTTCTAAATCATGCTCAACTCATTAATTAAAAAATATTGAAAAACATAAAACCATATACATGGGGGTGAATCCAAGAGATCTTTCTGTGGTAATAAATTAAAGGCATCAATTCAGGTAGATTTTGATCTCAACAAACTTTCTTTAAAAGTATATGTTTATAAACAAATTCTTTCGCCGAGCATATTGTCAAAAATAACCTTGGTCCGCTGCCGTCATAAGCATTTTATATGTTGATCAGTAACTACAAATGGACATTTCAGGGGTGACTTTTTATGAAAACATTATTATAAGTCGACGATAAGATAATTCGTTTATTTATCCAAGAGTCGTCAAGTCAAAGCAATCTGTCAATTTCTCTCCATTTGCCCAAAATTCCGCAATACAACCTGCACAGTAATTTGGCCTGTAAAAAGTAAATTAATTCATGCTTAGAAATATATGACAAAGTACAGTATTTGTTGTTTGTAATTGTTGTTGTTTTTATGCTATACATCTCTACAGCTATACTTTCAGCTTGGATTTTTTGAATATTTTTTATGATCTAAGACGATTTTTTGTAAAATTCCTATATAAGAATAAAACTTTCTTCTAGTAACTGTTGTTGTTGTTGTAATCTCATTTATTACACTGACTGCATATAATAATATAACCAATCCTTTGCAACGGTATTTTATAAATTGTCTTGAAATCACCCCGATGGCTATACAAAATGCATCTGAATATCATGTTCATTGTTTTGAATGCGAAAGAAGCAATTATAAATGTTGAATTTGAACATCATCTTTGAATGGGAGAATATTCTTACTTGCATTCCACATTAGCATGGTTACTACATTGTAACATTGGATCAGCAAACGTGCAGGGATTAACTTTACAGTTATAAGTGTTGTAGCAACCAGCAGCAGAAGTTAATGCTGAAATAGAAGACAATTACAAAGTCGGCAGAATGTCTTATCTGTATCCAAACTATATCGATGAAGTGTCTTACAAAATTAGAGCTATTTTTGGTCGTGCACTTTGCCCAAAAAGTCATGCGTGTTCGTCATCCTTTGCCGTAAACGACTAGATTACACTTACATTGTATTTGTCCACAATATGTGTACAGTATTGTTAGTGTTATTACAAATACATGTATTACATATCTAAACAGTAAAATGTATAGCACACCCATTCCATTCCGTTCAATACGTTTATAACTGTTCCGAAGATATACTTTAACAATGCTTGGTCTTTATCAAACAAATTAGTTTATGTTCGAAATAATCATGAGATAAGACTACCAACTTAAGAAGCATGACCTTGCTGACATCTCTATTGCCATGTTTAGAAATTATTTAGGACATCCATTTTATTTTATTTAGATATTTTAGAATATGAGATTCAATTAACATGAGAAAAATATATATTTTTGTCGTGGCAGGGATAAATTTGAAATATTATTAATTACATTTGAAACTATTCTATGAATATATCTGTTGTAAAACTGTAAACGGTTCTTGGTTGATAAATATTATTAACAACATTATTGTTGTATAACGGTTTCTTTACAATAACGAATTCTTTATTGATTACCCTTATAGCTCTGTATAATACTTATAATACAATTAGTTAACAGAAATAGTTATTGTATGTTATTTAATGTTATATATAGGAAACCCAAATGGGTTGAATGTCGCTTATTAACACGTATTAATTAAGTAATTATTCAATTTCTAGTTTGATGAAATTAACACATTACATAACCTATAGATGTAAGTACATAATTATAATGGGCAACCATTACCCAAGTGTGTATTTTCAACTTTCATTTTCTCAAACATTTAGTACATCCTTCTGTAATAGATCCTCTTAAACATGAAACAATTTTAGAAGACAGATGAAAACATAATGTGATACATACAGGTAAAACTGACCATCAGAAGAAATATGCCAAATATTGCCAACGATTTCGCCATTTTACTTGCGTCTTAATATGAACACTTACAAATTGTTTACAACTATACTGTCTTATCACCGAATGATAAAGTCTTGTTATCTATACATCAATGGAATTTTCGTCTAATTTTAAACTTTACTGTAAAGCTTTTTCAGTGATATATATTTACCACGGTAGGTGTAAACTCTGTCGTGACGCCTGAATGCAATTGCCTTAAATTGATGGAAGGGAAAAAGTGATTCGGTTCACCATCATCGATGCCTTCAAATCACAAAGTGATTGAATAAAAAATAGAGGTATATAATTGTGAAATAGGCAAAACAGATTTATTTAAGGACAAGCAATTAATCTGTTTGACAGATATTTAATTAAAAAAATGTTTGGCTAATTGTTATTAGTTGTTGTTTTTTTATTCTTTTTTTAGGATTTTTTTTAGGAATAACTTACTTTTTTCCATTCAGTTTCAGAAAGATATTTTTACAAAGTATCTATCAGAGCTGGGCTATTTTTTCATCGAAACAATAGAAACAACAAAATTACATTTACACAAAAAGTACAGATTCAGCACGATTTAGTCTGTTCATAGGGGAAAATCAAAAAAGAGCAAGACCCCTTTCGCTCGTGCACGGGATTTTATGTTGCATACAAAATTACAATGACAACAATAAAAATATTTTATTAAGTCTCACTTCTACACCAGCCATTTCGAGCAACTAAAATATTCATGAGGGTTTTGCCAGCGTGTCAAAATTGTTATTCCTCTGACATTACAAATACAAACTTTTCAGAAGCATCAGGAATGTTAGTGTTTGGTGTTCGTATTTCCTCTAAATATGAGTTCCTGTCTGATGTCATCATATATTGGACATTTTATAAGCACGTGGATTTCATTTTCTATTTCTTGAACACAATGAAAGCAAGTCCGGTCTTCGATAAGTATACTTTCATAACGAAGCATTTCAGTATTTAAAGGTACTACTCTATGAAGCCGGAACACTTCTTTGTTTTCTTGTATATTATATTAGATTTAACATAGCATTCTGTCTCATATATTTGACGTGAATAACTTGTATATTTTGAGTTTGTATTCATTTGATTTTGTTTTTGTTTTACCGTAAACATAGTTTATACTTTCATACCAAACAAAGTTGCAATTTTGCACTACGTTTTTATTTTGTATTGCATTTATATGGGTTTTGATTGGATTGCTTATCATACGCCTGGTCAATATTAATTTGAATTTATTTAAATTCTTGTCTTATTTAACTGATTCTCAATTCTAAAACACCAGATTTTGTTTGCTCGCTTTAATCTTTTGCACCAGTTGAACACTTCCTAATTACTTCTATCTTCATCCATATTGTTCAGTGTAAATCAGTCATTGACTGTCCCGCAATTGGTGGTATTCACCCCATGGCTCCATATACAGCCTAATAATGAATATATTTTCCCACACCCAGGTAAAAAGGACATGCACGATTTTGGACAGTGTTAACACACGCTGCTTCATAGTAATGTTTATCCATTTATAACCTGCTTAGTTTGTGAAATTGATTTGGCCTGTTTTTCATCTGGAACTGTCCGTTTGAAGTTGCATGAAGATATTTCAATATCAAAATAAAGAAAGAATGCTACCAAGAGTTTAGCGCCTGGTCAGACTGGACGGGGTGAAGGATAACCCGGCTATAAATAGGTGTTAAAGGCTAACTGTATGTTTAAGGTTAAAATGTCTAATGATATGAACAAACTTCTTAGGGGTGTCCGTGGGCGAGTGGTCAAGGTTGTTGACGTGGAACACAAGCGTCTAACTGCTGCGTCAGGGTATTCGATTCTTCATGTAAGAAAGAAAGCTATCCATGTCGGTGATTCTAGTCAGGAGCTTGTTTGTGAACCGAAGGGCACCTGCGGTCTTCCTCCAACAGAAAAGCTGGAAAATCGCCATAAGTTTTTATGACATATATTGTGTTGATACGACGTCAAACACACAAAAAACCCACAAATCTTCTGTTACATGTGTTTATGATATTAACGATTACTTGATACCAAAAGCCTTAAATGAATGTTCCATATACAGTTGTGTATGAAAGTTTATTTTATTGCGGTAATTCTATCTTTATTACGTTGTATCTTTTGTCACAGGTGTATAGTAATACGATTAGATCAATTCTTAAAATTACACCAGAAGAAGCCAAATAAGATCGACACTGTATGGTACGATATATTATGTGTAGCCAATCATAATTCAAAATGGTCAGAATCCCTAACATTGTACGTTGTATTTCAAAAGGAAAACATATTTTCCCAGCATATTTTGTTGGAGACGAATACGATGGTGTTTTTGTTTTGTTATTTTTATGGGTTTTTTTTTCAAACACAATGATAATAAATCTTTTAAATGCATAGGTAATTTCTAAAATGTCAGGCATTACATATCTGTATTATGAATATCATTGTTACGAAATAATGGAATCTGGTGAAATATTGAAATTCAGCTTTACTTGTGGAGGAAGACCCCAGGTGCCCTTCTGTACATTATTTCAGTCTTTCATTATCTTATTCGACAGCAAACAATGTGTATTCTAGATAATACGGTTAATAAAATACATATTTATTGTTAAGATAACTCATCATTGTCGAAGATGTAAAAATAAGCAAATATCTAATACAATAATGTTTTTGTATATACTAAATCTAATTATTATTTTCTCTTTTGGATTTGCAGTCGGTGATCTATTTGTACAAATAGTCAGGTAATAAGTAAGTACAACGTTCTCTTATTTAGCTTCGTTATAATACTGTTCTTTATTATAATTTCTTTTCTTGTTATTTTCGTGTTAATATGAAGGCGTCAGCATTTTATTAGCTACTGAAATAATTTGATATGAATGATCATCAAGAATCTAAGTGTCGTTGGTTGATAGTGAAAGTACTATTCTATTACTGTATTATGAAGCCATGTACCATGTCACACACCGCCAAACAATTCCTGGTAATATGTTACTCTAAAATATCTACTTTTAAAGCTGCATGCCTCCAGATGAGCTTAAGTATTTCGAGAAAATTTAATTTGAGAAGAAATGTACTAAAATTTTAAGAAAGTAAAAAGATGTAAGAGTTAGGTAATAATTTACATGTTATGTGTGATAAATGGCTGATTTTGCAGTATTTATCACCATATGTCTACTTCGTTACTAACAATAGCAATATTGTATACTGTTCAACGACATGTAACATAGATACAATTTTGCCCACTACAAAATTATTATATAAGCGGCATTTAAAGCAGCATGTCTCAATATTTCCAAGAGACCCGTATATCATGGTCATTTTCATTACCGGAATTTTACGTCATACAAATTAAGTCCTGGTAAAATGAATGCTACGTTCTTTAAAAAAAAATCTGATCTATTATATTGTATGATATTGCTGGACAGCAATAAACGCCTTATACAATGTATATATATTATATATATATATATATATATATATATATATATATATATATATATATATATATATATATATATATATATATATATAGGCTCAAAATCATATCAATAGAAAAATGACCGCGAGAAGACCGCAAAGTAAGGTCAGTTTTGGATCGGCGGTTTTTTGTTGTTGTTGTTGTTTTTGGGGGCTTTTTAGAATAAAAAGTCCAAGATTAATCTTAGTAAAAAAACTCCATTCATAAAAATATCACAAAACCGTGAAATCCATTTGGCCTGAAGTCAACTCGGTGTTTGCAATTTATTTTTTGTCTTCCACAATTTTCATTTGGATCTTTTACTCAAATCATAAAATCATACGTTTTACTTGTACAGTTCATTAATGTTATAAATTAACGTATTTTTAAATGTCCATTACATTGTTTTTTTATTGATCTAGTCATGGAATTAATTGCATAATAAAGCATACATACAATTAGATGTGCTTGCTATGTCATTAGAGAGAAAGGGAAACGAGAACGGAAGATATCATCTACTGTCGTCATATTGATTTCTGATGGGAAAGAACTCAATACACTATTTAGTCTTCATATAAATTTGCTAAAACTCTGCTGCGACCAATGGGAATAGCTAGTAACTTGTAATTGAAGATAGAAACCGGAGAATCAATTAATGTACAATATAAATGAAAATCAGCTTCACTTTTATTAAACGACACGTTTTATATGATCCATTTTTATTGGCACAGAAAAACGTTTTAATGTGTGTACATATATATAACGGACAGAATGTGACTATTGAGGACTGAAGCGTATTTGTTACACCATAAAAAGGTATGCTTTGTTGGTAGTTATAAGAATTTCTTTAAATCTGTTTGATTGTTTTACAATATTAAAATTTAAAAAAATGAAAAAAACATTTACATCACAAATTGGTTAAAACTAATACACCGTTAACTGTTTCAAATTTCTGCTCTGTATTAGAAAAGTAACACAGTTAATAATGTTGAAATTCAAATATAATTTTTGTTTTTTGTTGTTTTTTAATCCTTTTATTAGTATGATTTGTTTACTTATAACATTTATAAAACACATACATTTTAGAATATTTTTGTGCTCGCCAATTTTTTAAGCCAATCACCGACGAGGATTTTTCAAATTTTCAGGTTACAAATCTTAATAGAACAGATTTTATATAAACTGGACGTTTTATATTATAAAACGCAAGTGGGCGGAGCACTAAGCCGGTTAGAGTGCATATTGGATGTTCGTCGTAAATAAGAAAGCTACAGTCGCTTCGCAAGCTCCGCTCCTTTTTAGCTTTCTTATTCACGAAGAACACCCAATATGCACTCTAACCTATACATACATATGTCATATTGCCGTACACACAGATGCTTTATGATACATATATATAGCAAAAATATATCGTTTATTTTCATATATTATGTATTAATAACTTTTGAGGTATTTTAATTAATGAAAAATGTATCAATGTAAATATTACGTTCGGAAAATATAACATTTGCAGCTAAATCAATATAATGATAATTATTTGCGAATTCACAAGAAAACACATGTTTAAATATTTTTGTACATTTTACGTATTATATTGTCATAGCGTCATAGAAATTGTTATCCCTTTTCAGAATTCCATGTCATTTAATTCCATCCATTGTTGATGAATTTATCAATTTCAGATGCTACTGAATACTTTAATGTTATTTTAATGTTCATAATTCGTCAAGATTTTTTCATGTACATGACAAGGCGTCAAAATAGGTAGTGAGCAATAATTCAACAAATGAAGTGAGAGGGAGGGTGGGACATAACTGTTTGTTTAACATATGATATGTTTTGTTTGTATATAGATGTAACATCGACACATTTCTTTACGTATAATTGTAGAATCTTTATCGTTTAATGGGATATATATTTTATTTAAAGTAACATCTTTATTGTTTTCTTATATCACTATATGCTCTATATTTTGCATCATTAGTAACGAATGTCTAATTTTACGACAGAGCCTTATAATTGAGTTCTATTTCAGAGACACACGATGTCACGTTGAACGCCCTGCAGTCAACCGTCATAAATGTCAAAGTCGATGTACAATTACAGAGAGGTCTAATTGATCCCAATATCAGGAAAATGTGTAAGAATCAAATAAATGCTTTTCTTTTGATTCGCAAATGGTGACACTTTTTCAACAATCGATACCTGTCTAACTTCAAACAACGAATCACAGGTGATTATTTAACAATCACATTGCTCATTAAGAAAAACGAGTAAAAAATGAGCTGCAACATTCATGAACAAACATGAATACTTCATTACAGATATGTCTGTGTAACTAACTTGTGGAATAAGTAAGAAGTGTGATTACATAACTAAGCAACCTGGATAAATTCAGCGTCTGCTTTATGAAAACTCTTCGAAAACGTACTTAACCAACTACTGAAATCTCAGTGTCTTAAGCTGATAAATGATACAAGTATTCATGATTTTTTCAAATTGTTCAGAAATTTGGACAATGGTACAATAAATACACCAATAATAAACCATGAGAGCACGATAAATACATTGTCTCTACAGAAGAAATTAAACCATATATTCACGATTGTGCTTTTCTGATGTACCTAAATATTTCAAACGACTCCTTACAGAGCTTCCATAATATGTCAGGCGAGTTTAAACCAAAGGTTGCGATATTTCAAGCCATTGTTATTATATTGTTTTCTATGGCAATCATCGTATGTAACGTTGTCCTAATAATGGCGGTATTACGAACGCCGAATTTACACACAAAAACAAACGCTTTGTTGGTGTCTGTTTCATTAAGTGAAGTGATGCTAGGTGTGTTTGTTATGCCTTTCATAGCATCACTTCTGATTAAGCCTTCATTAAGATTCTCGTCTGGACTTTGTGACTTTATAGCATTCATGACATCAGTTCAAGCTTCTTCTAGGGCACTTAGCATGTTCAGTGTTGCTGTTGACAGGTGTGTGGCAATTTCTCATCCACTACAGTATAACAGCTGTATCACTAGAAAAACAATTACTTTATTTGCTGCAATTGTTTGGATCTTGAGTATAATATTTGCAGTATTTCCTTACATTAACGTTGGAAAATATTCATTTCTTACGGTTTATGGCCGATGCATGATCGATTATCATGTATCATCCGTTTTTGCGATCGTGAAGGAGGTGACGTGTACATTAGTGCCATCTATTGGTGTATTTATCACTTTTGTTATTGTGATTACCGAAGCTCGGTCACATCATCGGGTTACTATGATAGCTCAACTAGCTATTGCAATGTACTCCGGACCAGTTCGAGGAGTCAACTACACGAGAAGTACTTTCAAAGCATTGAGAACATATCTAGTCATTTCATGTATTTACTTATTTACTTGTTTTCCAAGGTCTTTATATGTCATTTCGGTATCAGCTAATCAGCGTCATTCAAATTCATTGTTTACATTTTTCACTTTCTTAACATACATTTGCTCCATATCAACACCTCTAGTTATATCTACTTTAAATATAAAATTTCGACAAAGTATTGTCACATTATTTGAATCGAAAAACAAAGTCAATCCAATTTCTGACTATGAACCCTATACAATATCAACGGGATTGCATACAATTCTGGAACATTCAATGGTGTTTAAATGTGTTCCGAATAAAGACCAAAAGTTCTCAAAAATGAGTTCATTCAGAGAACCAGTAGCTGGACCATCAAGGCAATTACCTATTGTGCGATTTCAGCCTCGTAGGGTTTCAGTTCTACATGAAGCACAAAGTTCAAGTTCTAGTGGAATTACAGTAATGAAACCAGGACATGCTGTGCTAAGGAAGACGCTGTCATCACCGTCATGATCAAATATTGTATCCTCACATTCATTGGTATCACTGTAATAAAAACCAGGTCATGCTGTTTAAAGGAAGACACACACGAGATAACTTCATAAGTTTTATCAACAAAACCATTAAAGCTTTCCGATGGTGTTTTTCATCATAATCATTCCATTAGTTTTCATAGATTGTCACAGGGATATTTATTGTTTGTTATAATGTTGTGTTTTTAAATGCATCATCATATAGCTGTGTTTTTTCTCTCATATTATTTGTTTAATTCTTGAAATGTTTTTTTATGGTACGACCTAAAGCAAGAAAAGTCAATAGACCTAGCCCGGAAATAGACAAATATATGGGTTTTTTTCACATGTAATTCCGGGGTACCAGTTACAACTTGGTAAATATATCGATAATAGCAACACGTTGATCACCCTATTGTCAATGGTTGTTCTCCGTAAAGCTATAGCAGAAAAGTGTTTTTGAACCCCGAGATGAAATTGGGAATAACCTACAATTATCAGGTTCAGAATAACATGTATTTTTCAAAACCTTAATCAAGGGACAAAAAGTGAGGGCATGTCAACAAGCTTTAAACAACTTTACATCAATTAATAATGAGACAACTGCGCACATTGGCCATTGGCTGTGTCCAAATAATTATTTTTTTGAAAATGATAGTCGTCTCGTCTGTAATAATGATAAACGTACAGTGTATTGATAGCTCTTTCTATGTAGTGACTATCTATGAATATTTAGCAGCGATATTGCATTTAATGAATAGTCCAGTTTTTTAATCAATGAAATGAATAATAATGCTATATTTACTCCGTTCGGTCTATAATAGAAGCTGTATCAAATAAGTGTGTATGTTTTATTCATTTCACAAACGATGATAACTTATATATAACTCTAGGGAAAGAAATCATGCTTTCACAAATGATATAAACATTGATTTATTAGCATTTTTAATAAAAGTTTCTATGACGTATGTCAATAAAATGTGGCACCCACTTTCTCTGTGACAACGATGAAAAACGGACCTTTAAAGTCATAATGGGAATAATCGTCATTTATATCTTTGTTTATAATTGTATTAAATCTAATGATCTTGATTGTTAGCTTTTATTTTATTATGATAGTTTTAATAATAGTTATTGAATCAAAGCATTACTTTGGCATATTCGAACATAGTATCTGACTGTAAATCTTTAATCAATATATTTTATTTCAAACATACCAAAGGTATATGATTGACAAATTTTTGATGATTCTCGTGCTGACTATTTTATAAGACTGAAGTATTATAGATTGTTTACAAATTATGCGTATGAAATGATACCTTTAAATATCTTCATAAAATCTAGATTCCGCGAGTACAAGAAAATCAAAGAAAAAATAGTAGAAAATAGTAGGGTACAACACTTTTCACGCCCACTAGCATCCGCTGAAACGCTATGTCAATGTATGACCTCAAAAGTGTCGGTGCTAACTGCTATGAATGAATAATGAAGCTATTTTTACACCATTCGGTCTATTATAGAAGCTGAAGCTGTATCAATAAGTGTTTATGTTTTATTCAAAAACAAACAATGACAACTTATAAATAATTCTAGGAAAAAAGATCATGTTTTCACATTCTATCAGCATTTTTAATAAAACGTATGCCAATATAAACGCGGCACCCACTTTATATGTGTCAATGAAGAAAGACGGATATTAAAGAAATATATATGTATTTATATCTGTTTATAAATGAATTTAATGTGACGATTTTGTACGGTTGTTAGCTATGAGCTGTTTATGATAGTTATAATAACACAACTGTAGTTATTGAATCAAATTTTTACTTTGGCATATTAGTACATAGTATCTGACAGTAGAATTATAATCAATTTGCTTTTATTATGAACATGTCAAATGTATACAGAGACAAATTAAAGATTCTTGTGCTGACCATGTCATTAGATAATATATGACTGACATATCACACGAGTATCTATAATATTGCTTATTGTTTACCCATTACTCGTAATGCGCAAGGAAACAAAAAATAGTAGAAAATCGCAGATTCGGTTTAATTGAGTCCGTTTAAGAGAGATAATATCAGTGTGTAACATCTTTCACGCCTGCTAGCAGCCTCTTAAGCCGAATACCACTGCATGACTTCAAAAGCTCATGTGATATATTAGGTTCACAATTCAATAAGATAAGCAAATCGAATGGTTGTAACTTTGACGACGATCAGAATCAAATTTTTTAGCGCCGCTTCCGATATGATAGTATTGAACTTTCATCTCCTGCAATTCTATCTTTCTTTTACAACTTCAAACTTCCGGTCTGTAATGTCAACAATAGAGAGACCAAGTTATATTTATACTTTTGCTTTTGTGCTCAGTCAAATGTTTTGCAAGGTATTGCATCTATCTTAGAGGTAAATGTACTTTCAAATCATTTTAAACATTGGCTTTCTACAAATTGTGCATCATGTCAAATCATGATAATGTGCAGCCTCTTTTGAATTTTGAAAATTTCAATCTACCATGTCGTGCCACCAAATGAACTGAAATATAAATCAAGTATTTCAATACACATATAATATGTACTAGATGAGAAAGTTGTACATTAATCTTATTTACAAACTCACTTATAAATGTTTACTGCAACGAGTTTTGTATCATTGTCAGAGTTTAAAGAGAATTTCTTTTTGTCACGCTATTTACAGTTTTGTCTTTACAACAAAAACAATTCAATTGCACTGCCTTGAGTGTTATTGGAGAATAAACGCTAATTGAGCGTAAATGTACCATTGCAATGAAGCACTGCAACAGTATGACTGTAGAGATGGTAATATTATAAAGTATGATATTAATTTGACGGTATTTGTTTTGTATACCAAACTTTGGCATGAACATGGTGTAGAAAATTCCACTGACCAGGGTATTAACTTATAGTTATACGTGATGAGTTAATAATAATTTGGCCATTTTATTTCATTGAAACGTTCAGTGTATAACACGAATAGTTTCTTTTGCTGATGAGTATACGTCACCTCATATTAATGGCTTATTGTCTTGAACGCTTATGGATAACTCTTTCTGAAAAAATCGTAACTAGAAATAACGACCATACATACATAATCAATAACTGTATGAAGTGATTTGATATTATCTGTTTTAATTCCCTGTAGCATAATTATGTACGTGGAAAAGAGAAGTAAAACTCTTAATGACTTTCTATATAAAGAAATACCGGTATATAAAATTATGGGGATGAAAACGAATTGAATAAATATTCTCCATCAGTAAGTCACGTGATACGAACTTCATGATTTTCACAAACAATTTTCTACCACAAACTAAACCACAAAGATGATGGTTGCGAAACACTGGATTGTAATGAAATATGAGCCTAAAAGAAATCTGAGATGTACTCCTATATATATGGAAATTGTTATACAAAAACATGAATTATTTTGCCGTGAGGGATTCTGTATTTTTCTATTTTATATATTTTAACTAATCATGTAAAATAAAAATAAAAACAAAGCTTTTCAAATCGAAATACTGTCTTAAAGTGGATCGATCTACAATAGGCAAATTTTCCATTAATATTTCAAATATCTCTAGATAAAACAACATTAATGCTTAATTTGGATATTGTTTTCAGTATATCTTGTTGGAAAACAATGTTGACAGAGTTTAAGTTATTGAAACATTATGAATATTTATATGATGAAAATGGTATTTTGTATTGTAGAACAAGTAATTGCTTATGGTATTACAATTTTTTCTGGCCTTTGTAGACCAAATCACTTTAACGGTTAATTGTAGTGAAGTCATCTGCTATGCCATTCAATGATTTATATACTATACGTAAAGAATGACTGTAGATACAAACTTTAAAGGAATACTGAGGTTCAAAATTTAAAAAAACAACGTATAATTTATGTTTTAACATAGACCAGCTTTGACACTTCAAACAATAGGGTATGCGAAAAATTATTATTGAGAAAATATACTCTGTAACGAGAATAGTATTTGCTATTCTTAATCCAATTTGTGTAAAAAGCGTTGCAATGCTTTGCAATTTCGGTTTTGATTCATTTTTCACAATTAGAATAATTCTTCTGGAGAAACGGAGATAGCGAATGATCTGAAATTTTGCAACAAGTAGAGATGGTATTTAAACTAATAAGTTTAGACCTTCATCAAACATCAAATATAATACAATAATCTCGGAAAATTAGTTCGCGGATTTTAAAGATACTTTTGTCTGTTTTAGGTACCGCTCCATATTTGCTAAAAGTGTCATACTTTAATGGTTTTAGTTACATCCGTTATATATAAATGTGATAAACTATTTTGATTCCTACCAGTTTGAAGTGAACGACAACTCATAAAATATACTTGCTGTATTTAATACATCCACCTGCAGCTTTGATTAAACAGAATTAACTAAGGTAGTTGTCATGTTGGTGCTGAAATAATTTTTCTAGATTTGTGTACCATTTATGTACCTATATTTTGATGAGGGTCTAAATCAATGCCTTGTGAGCAAAACTCCGTTATAGTAGAATAATCATTGAAATTGTGCAAAATGACCAAACAACGAAAACTGTTTAAACGATTTAACTTAAAACGGGGTGAAGTCTTTATGCATAATTTCTCCACATTATTTAGAATAGAGATATATTTTAAAGTATAAACTTCCAGTAATATAATTACTAATAATCATTTTTTTTCTTCTTTCTATAGCATTGCAATTACACAGCAGGGGCCGTATTCATAAAGCTCCTAAGGGAAAAAATTCCCTTAGATTCTAAGATTTCCCTTAAAAAACGTAAGATTTCCCTTACTTTTTAAGAATTTCCCTTACTTTTTAAGAATTTCCTTAGTTGCTATTCATAAAACTCCTTAGGACAAAAATTCCTCAATTTTGGCCGATTTTTCCCTTAAATATTAAGGTAGCCCATATGCTCCATTAACTTTTAAGGGAAAAAGTTAAGGGATAAAAATGAAGAAAAAAAAATGGCCGATTAGCAGACAATTTGTTCATTCCCTTTCTCAAATAACAAATCCAGCTACTATCCATTTTGGAATCGACGGAGATTTAATCATAATAATATCCGATGAAAATAATTCGTTCGTATATTAGCCAAACAACGCAGCTAACCGGAAATTTCCGTTCCAGTGGAGGCAATTTTCTGAATATTTTAACATTTTAA